ATTCTGGTGTGTCTGTCTCTCGGGTTTGATGGGGATTTTCCCCTGACAGAGGTGATGCTGATGGAAGAGAGACTCAGCCCTCCCAGGGCAGGGAGGGACTGCTGGCAATGGGGGGGGGGATTCCCCCATGGAGCCTGACCTCATCTCCTGGAGGGAGATCCTGGAGGGATCAAGGAGCCCAGAGAAGGAAGGGGTGGGGCCAGAGGGGGAGGGGTGGTCTTGATGGGAAAATAAGAACAAACTCACAGGAAAAAAGGGGGGAAAATATTACAATGTGAGCAGAAAGCCCTGAGGGGTGAGGGAGTGTCCCTGAAGGTGGGGAGGGGGTTATTTTGAGGGGGGTGTCACTAAATGAAAGGTAAAGAACTTGTTTGAGGTTTAAGAGAAAGATCCACAGAACCCTTGGATTCCCCTCCCCAGGAAGAAAAGACCCCTCAACCTTGGCCTTTTTTGCCCAAGTGGGGGCACTGATAATGTCCTTTTAATCGTAGAAGAGGTGCACCATCAGTTGCAAGGGAGAGAGGGAGCCCCTGTGGAATGTGGCAGGAAGGACAGTTGCTGGGAGGAAGTCAAGGCCACGCATCAGACTTGGCCACACTTTGGCTAATGGTGGCTTCACTGAAGAAGCCCAAGTGGCCCTGTTGCCTCCTCCTGGGCTGTGCACAGGACACCCCTCAGTGCTTTGGCTGCCTGACTCACACAGACACCCGCCAGGCCCTGGATTCTGCCCAGCCACACCTACAGCTTGGGAGGGCAGAGGTTGCGCTTCCTGGTCAACGTAATGGCTGCCTGGCAACAGGAACTAAGCAGGGCTTCCCGCGTCCTGGAGAAGTGCTGGAAAGGCAGGAGGGGGATTCCCTCCTGGGCATCCAGGCTGCAGACCAGGGACCCAAAGGGGGCCGAACGTGTGCAAGAAATCCACCATAAAGGAGGGAAGTCCAGCCTGGGCCCAGATGCTCACCTGTCCTCAGCAGCGTCTTGTTCCCATAGGACAGGTACTTCTCCAGCCACTCAATGCAGATTTCATCCAGATAGGCCTTCCTTCTCTGATTGAATCCTGGAACAGCATCCCATTTCCTCTGGGTGATCTGGGCCTGTGGGTCGGGAGCCACCCAGGTGAGGGTCTCCTTGTCGAAACTGATGAGGTCCTTCCCATCGTATCCATAGCGCAAAAACCCTACTTTGGTCCCATCTCTCTGGAGCTCACAGCCACCCATCCACTGCCAGGTGTGAAGGCCTGAAAGAGTGACAGGAAGATGGTTTGGGGAGTCCTCAGGAGAGACAGAGACCCCCTCCCTGCTGGGACTTTGACACAGGACGGAGGCAGTGAGAAAAGGGATAAATAATGCTTGGAACATGAAAGAAATACATTTTTCCCCATGAAACTCCTCATCCTGCCCCCAAATTGTACCTTGAGGGTCTCCAGACCCAGCTGCCCCCTCCTGAAACCTTCCTCTGTTTCCCTCCATCTTCTCCCTCCCCCAAAATCTCCTTCTGGGCAAAAGGCAGAACAAGCAGTGCCATCTTGGCCTTGGATCCGCAGAGCCCCAAATCCTCCATCTGGAGGCTCAACACAGAGACAAATGGCAGGAAGGGGGGTGAAAGGCAGAGGGGTCCCCAACCCCCTTGTCAAGCCCCCCAAAAGAGGCTCCTCAGAACTTTTTTCCTCAGGAAAATCCCCTCTCCTCCTCCCCCACATCTGCCTTGGGGTCCCCTGATCAGACCCCCCATTGAGATTTTTGCATTCACACATCACGATGATGGGGGCTCTGGTTCCCTCTCCAAAAAGTATAGAGAGTCCAGTCCCCACAACCTCCTTTTCCTTGAGAGAAGCCAACTGAGGGGCCCTTCCCCAGTTCTTTTGCTTCCCAAAGGAATGGGGGATAGCAAGGGGTTCCCCAGCCTCTGCCCCTCCACCCACTGCCCCCCAAAAGCAGGAACCTCCCATCCCAGAAGGAAAATGGCCCCTGTTGCTCTCTCAGGAGCCCTCCATGTCTGAGTAGTTGCCCCCAAATCCTCCAAGAGGGAGAACCAGCACCCCTATTTCCTCACTAGCGTTTTAAGGGAAAGAAAGCCTCCCCCAGCTGTCCCCCTTCTCCCCTCCCTCGACACCAGCCTGGGCCCCTGCATCTCCCCCGGGATGGAGCCCTGCCCTCTAGCAGGAGCCTCGCCAGGAAAAGGGCAGCTAGCAAGTCCCACTTTCACTTCCTGGGATTGGAAAAGGCAGCGGAGGATCCCAAGGGGGACCGAGAAGAGATGGAGGCGCAGAAGAAACGGAGGGACGGAGCCTCCGCCATCTTTCTTTCTGCTATTCCTCTGTTGGGGGAGTCTTGGGGGGAAGGGAAGGGATCTCAGAGCAGGAACAGTTGCCAGAATCTGTGGCTGCAAAGAGGGACCGAGAATCTCGTGGCCTCAAAGAGGAGCCAGTCAATCTGGGAAGAAGCTGGCAGGGATCCTGGTGACCGTAAATCAGTCTGCATTCACAAATAGCATTAAGTCACAAGGGCTGGTTCCCACTTTGGGCTAACCAGAAACAAATCATGGCTTAGTGTAATATGGGAACGAAGCCATGAAAGGCCACAAAGAATTATTTTCCTTAGGAACAGTAGCAAGTGCCCCAATTTTATTTGCACACCGAAAGTGTTATTGACCCTTTAAATGGATTTTGAAATTTTATTCTTTTTTAATGCAGCCTCTTCATGTACCATCTGACACATTCATGTGAGGGTTTTATGATTCCATGATTCAGATCTAAGTGGGTAGCTGAGAATCAGGTTCAAGAAAGAGCAACTGGAGTGACTCCGCTTCCTCGGCCGGGAGACCAGCTGAGAAGGAGCTTCAGACCAAAAATGGCTGGATGGACCCCAGACTCTGCGAGACATAAATCATGGAAACGTTCAATGCAGAGGAAAATTTCTTAAATCAATAAAGGTTTTGGTTTTATGGTTGAAATGTTTGTTATCTGCCTATTTTATAGCCTTATAACTCTTTTACAGAATTATTCCTTATTTCTAGCCTCTAGAACTAGGCTATTTCTATGTCTCACTGATATAAGTCTTGTCCTTTTTCTAAATCTATCCGTTATTTATTCCTTTGCTTCTGGTTAAAGGCTGCCCTTCCTTCAGGTGCTCAGGGCAGCAGATACAGCGTGCCCTCCTCCCGTCTCCCTACCACAACAACCCTATGAAGTAGGTTGGGATCAAAAGGTGGGACTGGTCCAAAGCCCCCCGGGGGGCTCACACTACTTTTCTCTCCAGGCTTCCACTGCAGGGCCCCCCTTGAATTCCTGCATCTCCACCCTCTGCATCTCTCCTTCGGCTGGGTCTTCTTTGCCTGGATCTTCACGGGAGGCAAATTGGGGGAGTCCCTGAGCCTTTGCTCCTGTTCTCATGCGGGGAATCAGCTGAGCTGAGCCCCAGAGCGGTAACAGGAGAAGCAGCGCTGGGCCTTATGGACAAATTGAGCCTCAGCAAATCACCAGGCCCTGATGTGATCCACCCAAGGTTAGAAAGGAGCTCAGAGCTGAGATTGTGGGCTTTCTCATTAAAATACACAACCTGTCTCTATGCTTAGCCTCTAGAGGTGAGGACTGGAAGGTGGCCAGCGTAACCAGTTTTTAAGAAGAGCTCATGGGGAGATCCAGGACATTATAGACCTGTGTGCTTAACATCTGTTCTGGGGAAGAGAGTGGAAACTGCTATTAAAGATAGAATTACCAAACATCTGGAAACCCAGGCCTAGCTCAAGGATACCCAACATGGCTCCACTAAAGGAAGGTCCTGTCTAACTAATCTGCTAGAGTTTTTGAGGGTGGTAATAAACATGTGGATGAGGCTGAGCCACTAGACATCACCTACTCTGATCTTCAAAACATCTTTGATAAAGTCCCTTAGCAAAGACTTCTCAGTAAGCTTAGCAGCCATGGAATAAAGGCAAAAGGAGAAGAGGACGGCAGAGGATGAGATGGTTAGATAGCATCACTGAAGCAATGAGCATGAAACTGAGCAAACTCAGGGAGGCAGTGAAGGACAGGAAGGCCTGGCGCAATATGGTTCATGGGGTCACGAAGAGTCGGACATGACTTAACGACTAAACAACAACAAGCAAAGACTTCTCAGTAAGCTTAGCAGCCATGGAATAAAGGCAAAAGGAGAAGAGGACGGCAGAGGATGAGATGGTTAGATAGCATCACTGAAGCAATGAGCATGAAACTGAGCAAACTCAGGGAGGCAGTGAAGGACAGGAAGGCCTGGCGCAATATGGTTCATGGGGTCACGAAGAGTCGGACATGACTTAACGACTAAACAACAACAAGCAAAGACTTCTCAGTAAGCTTAGCAGCCATGGAATAAAAGGGGAGGTCCTCTTGTGTGATTCCCAGGGTTTTGGCCTAGGACCACTTCTTTTTAATAGATTTCTAAATGATCCTGAATTGGGCGTAACTAGTGGAATATTCTGATGACACAAAAGGGTTCAGAGTGGTAAAAACATTAAGGGGCCGTGAAGAGCTCCAAAGGTTCTCTGCCCATTAGGGGAGTGGGCATCAAAACAATAGCAGTCAGCCCATGTGATGCACGCTGGGGCCAAAACTCCTAACTCCTGATAGAAGCTAATGGGATCAGAGCTAGCTGTGACAAACGAGGAAAGAGAACTTGGAGTAAAGGGAAACAGTTCAATGAAGATGTCAACACAGTGGGCATCCTCTGTAAAAAAAAGGCCAACAGTGTGCCAGGGATAATAAAAAAGGCATTGGGAACAGTGAGGCTAATATCATAATGCCCTTATAGAAATCAAGGGTGAGACCACATCTGGAATATTGTCTGCAGTTCTGATCGCCACGCCTCAGAAAGGACACAAGGGAGCTGGAGAAGGGTCAGAGGAGGGCGACTCAGAAAGGGCTGAACCAGTTTCCCTGTGAGGAAAGGTTGCGGCATTTGGGGCTCTTTAGCCTCAAAAGGAGGCAAACAAGAGGGGACCTGACTGAGGTGTAGAAAACCACGCATGGTGTCAATCAAGTGGACAAGGAGAAGCTGTTTCCACCTTCCCCAAAGACTCTGAAGGCCATCTGCTGGGAGACCAGCAGGCTTCCTGGTGCGGCTGGTGGACCACTGGGGGAACAGACTGCTGGACTAGAGGAGCCAGGGGTCTGATCCAGCAGGGCACCGCTTGGGTTCTTCTGTCCTCCACTTTGACAGACTCAGGACTGCGCCACGTGTCTTCTGGGCTTCCCACCACCCTGGTTGGTCTCCCACCTCCTTTCTCCACCAGGGGGAGCTCTGGCTGCTCTCTGGGTCTCTCAGAGGCTGGAGGGGACCTGGAAGGGATTTGGGGAAACCCTCCCAGGGCAGAACTAGCAAAGCTCTTGGGTCTGCCTGGGGGGGAGGGGGTAAGAGAAGGGGAGAAGAAGTGGGGCAGCAGGTCCTTGTAAGGAAAGAAGGGAAACTGGCTTGCACCCCCCCCCAAATAAGATTCCTTTAAAGTGAATATTGTGTCCCCAAAGATGTCAGAAGCGGGAATTGCCAAGGAAGGGCTTCCCCCCTTAAGGGCAGCCCCACTAAGAAGGCAGTGCAGGAGTCCAGCCCTGGTGGACCATGGCTGGGAAGACACGGCAGCTCCGACCGGTTCAGGAAGGGCCCCAAATGGGGGGTCTGTTCCTTTTATCTGTTCCCCTCTGCTGATGGGAAGGATGATGGAAGTGTCCTGTGCCCCCTCCAAGAGCCCCAACCCCACTTGGCATCCCTGGCCTCTCCTTCCAACTGGAGGAAGAGAAGGGGCTCCTGGCCTTAGGGCCCCACTTACCCCTCCAAAAAGGGGGTGCCAGAAATGCTTCTCCTTGGAGGGAATGAGCCTGGGGGGGATCTGGTCTCCCCAGCTGGATCCCTCATGTCTCTGGGGTGGGGTGGGGGAGACCTGTTATTCCCTTCCTCCCCCACAGCAAATGGGGGGCTCCATCAAGGCCAGGCTCTCCATCTTTCCTGGCGGTGAGTCAGGGGAGGGGTGATTTTGAACTGTTCTTTACCTGATTTTATATCACTCCTGTAATATATAATATATTTTTTTCCTTTAAAAATATTTTAGTAACTGCCACCTGCACAGAAAACTTAGTTATGGGACGAAGATAAAATTATATTAATTTTTTTAAAGCAATAAAAATACTTTTTAAATAACCTTTTTAAAAAGTGTGGAAGCAGCCTTTTCCCTGGGAGGGACCCCCTTTCTCCCTCTCCTGCTCCTGGGGGGGAATATGGGGCAGGAGGAGCCACCCGACCCATCACTCACCTTTGTTCTGATTGTAGGGAGTACTGAGAGTCTCCAGGTCTGCTCTCAACACCTCCTCAATGCAATGCCCTATCTCAGTCTGAGCGTCCCAATACTGGGGGTTCTCCTTCCCCACCTCTTCCATCCAGGAGACTCCAGGCTGCACCTTCCTGCTGCTGCTGTCATAGTAAAAGAAGACTTGATCGTCCACGTATCCCGGAGTGACAAAGTGGGGCAGCCCCTGACTGGGGTCCGACATGGAGGTGTAGAAATACTTGAGGGAGTGCGAGGAGGAGCCTGGAATGGACCCAGAGGGGCAGAGTTAGGGAGCTTCAGATGAGGGACCCTGGCCCTATTGGGCACAGCAGGCCCCAAGTTGAGAATCTGGGGAGGAAGAAGGAGGAAGAAGAGGCCTGGGGGCAGAGGAAGAAGGGGAAAGGAAGGGGGAGAAGATGGAAGAGGGACAGGAGGCAGAGGGCGGAAAGAGGGAGTGACTAAGAGGCAAAGAAGAAGCTTCTGGAGGGCCTGAAGGGTTGGAGGGCAGAGACGTTGGGGGTGAGAGAGAAGGGAAAGCAGGGCCAAAGGGAGAGCAGGACCCCCAAACCCTATTTGCCCCCCTAAATTGTTCCCTCCCCCCTTCCAGCAAGGCCTCCCTCAAACCCTCTTCTGGATTGCGGAGACTCTGCCCTATGGAGGCTGCAGTCGCCCCACAGAGAGAAGGGGGATTTCTACCCCCCAGAAGCTCAAAAGCAGCAGGAAACCCCATCTGGTCACCCCAACTTTTCATTCACAGGAAAAAAATATTCTCACCTCACTAGGGCCAAAATGGGTTGCTAATAGGTGCAGATTTTAGGAGAGATTTTATAAAATGGGGGAGGAAAGGGGGGGAAGGAGGGATCCGGATGAGGCCAGAGGCCATGGGACCCGTGGGGGGAAGCCCAAACCAGGGAGATGTGGGCAGTCAAAGCGGGGAGTGAAGGGAGCAGGAATGAAGCCACACAGCCCCCATGGATCTTCCTGCTTGGCCCCAGCTGGGAAATTCCCCCTCCGGTCCCAGAGTTAAGGCATCAGAGCAGGAATTGGCTTTGAACTCAGGACCAAATGGGGCTCACCGTCATTCCACAGAAAATCTCACTGCAGATTATCCCAAGATTTCTTAAGTTCGGCAACACAGGGAAGAAACCTTTCTTCCCAGGGGCTTGCAACACACCAGATTTACTCTAGATCTAAAACACTTTGTTCTCTTTCCACGGAACATCTTCAGGAAGTTCTCCTCCTTCTGGGCTGATCCTGCACTTTTCTCCAGAAGCACTTTGGAAATCACCCTCCAGAAGCAGAATCACAGCATCCGCGAGTGGAAAAGAGCCACCGAGGTCATCTAGTCCACCCCTGCTCAGTGGAGGGACCCCAATGAAAGCCTCTTTCCTCCCCCCAAGATGGCTCTAGCCTTCACTTCAGCCTCTCCAGGGAAGGGGAGCCCCCCAACTCTCTGGACAATACAACATACAACTGAAACCACTATCTCAGTGCCTGTTGGTCACACATAGATGGAAAGGAAGTGGTTAGTTTCTTCAATGATATTCAGCCCCACCAGCCAAGATGCCTTGTTACGTATTTGACAACCCGTGGGCTGTTCTAGAGAACTGGACCCCACTGAACCTGTTGTTTTTTAAGGGTTTTTCAGAATTTCTAGGGTCCCATTGAAGTGATTGACAGGGCTTCATTCCCATCATCTGGGTCACAAGGCACGTGTCCCCCCTGCTCCACGGACACCACGGTCATCATGGCTGTGGGGCAAGTGGACACAATGGGCTTGCCTTTTTAGGCAGAAAGGAACAGGGGCGATCAGAGAAAGAAAGAGAAAAACAGGATTATGAAAGGAACACTGGGGAAGGAATCCATTAGGAAACAGGGTGCAAGGTGAAAGGACAGGATGCATTTCCCAAATAGCTTTATGATACTTGTCCAGGGGTCATACTGATTATTACAGACAGAAAGACAGGAACGATCATCAAATACACAGAAAAAAATATTCTGGTAACAATGGGGTCATATTCTTCAATGAACTGCAAGATCCACTGTTCTAGAGCAGCCTTTTCCAACCTCAGCCACTTTAAGAGATGTGGACTTCAACTAACATGCTGGCTGGGGAATTCTGGGAGTTGAAGTCCACACTCTTAAAGTGGCTGAGTTGGGAAACGCTGCTCTAAAGCGCCCTTCCCCAACTTGGTGCCCTCCAGGATTTGGAAAATGGTGTCACATTAGGAAAAGCAATTTGAGAGTAACAAAAATTTAAAAGAGGTAGTATTCCCCACCCCACCCAAATGAGACCAGAGACACAGGCTGAGCTTCCAAGAAAACATTACTCCCCATCCTCCCAAGATGAGGGCTGGAGCTGTTAGGATTTTCTTATGGGAAGAAAGTCATCTCGCTATCTTTAAAACATTGCTGTGACTAGAAAAATCCTGTGACTTAGTTCAGCCTTGTTGCTTTGCACGTATACTGCTATTTACTGCCATCTGTTGGCGTCTGTATGCTAGTTGTTCAAGGGGTGGTAATAAAACAGGAGGATTACATGCCCAGCCTCTCAGTAGAATTTTAGCCACCATGTAATCAGTTTTTATGGGTTATGTAGTAGTAACTAATAACCAAGTAGTGTACCTCTTC